GACGGAGAAAGCTGGAAGTGGATGGACAAAACTGAAGTGCCTTTTGGTGCGCTTTGTGAATTGTGCTGCCAAACATGTTTCTTTCTTAAAGCGATCCAAACCTTCTGAAAACAATGATCAAGGAGAGCCTAGTTCTCACGAGATCGAATCTGACATGTTTCGGAAGCTTTCACGGTGTCATTATGGCAATGAAAGCGGAAGCGTCTAGTTTGCTGGCTCCTGCACAGTGTACATAGCGACCTATCAACGCCTGCGCTCTCTTCACCTCTGCGCCACAGACTACACCAACTGGGCGGCCGGCGTGGATGCCTCGACAGCGGGCTGCGTCTTCTTAGACGTGCGAACGCAGAGACCGTTCCAGTGGGTGATCCTGCCGTGCAGCACACCCGCTTACACATCGTGCCGCAAGCTCTGTCCGTGGGGCTATCACCTGTTCGAAGGTGAGGCTGTGATCCCGCCGAAAACGGCGACAGGTATGTTGCAGGTAAGTGTTGGGTGACACACGGATTACACCTGCCATTGGTGACTGGTGAGCAATTAATAAACGCACCATCCTGTGATAAGAAGCTGATGCTTGGCAGGCAGGAGTTTCTGAAGCAGCTTGCGCTCAGTTGGACTGATTAGAATCTGCCGATAAATGCAAACGCCGTTTGGTGCGGCTTCGCACAGCAAAGCTACACAGGGCTATTAGCGGCCCGGGCTTCTGACCAAGCCTCTGTCAAAGCGCGTCGTTAACAGTCCAGCCGGTCTTGTGGCCGTCACTGTCACGTCACTGTCACACACACGTCACACACACACATTCTGAGCCCCTCGTCACCGCCGGACGACGTTCCTGCCTGTCGTGAACGTGACTTAGTGACCTCTGCCGACCCTTGCTGGCCCATGCTGCCCTCTCCGCTGAGCCCTGCTGGCCCATGTTCACCCCTGCTCGCCCCTGGTGACCCCTGCTGACCCATGCTAACCACTGATGACCCCGTCCGGCCCATGCTGACCGCCGCTGACCCCTGCTGACCCATTCTCACCCCTGCTGACCCTTGCTGACCCCTGCTGACGCCTACATACCCCAGACCGCTGTCTGGGCATCGACCTGGACGACAAAGTGACCTTCACTCGGGCCGAGGCACGCTGCGCGGCCCGAGGCGAGGACCTCATGAGCTTCTCCAGCAACGACACCTTGAACGAGTTTCTCCAGTGGCTGCCCAACCACCTGCCAATCGACTCCCAGTACTACGTGGGCATGGTGTCGTGCCGAAACGCCTTCCCGTCTATCACGCCGAGAACACTCCGGGATACCGAAGCCATGCTGTCCCCCTACTCGGTGTGAGTGGGGCGCCTTGCGGGGACGAGGAGGACGGGCGAGCGCTCGCCGGCCGAGCGGGCCCGTTGCGCAACACGTTCGGTGGAGGGCGTTCGCCGTGCGTGCCAGGCAGCTGGTAGCGGGAGCTAACTAAACGGATCGACCGGTCGCTCTGTGTCGGTTGGGTCTCAGCGGCCGTCGGTGGGAGCCATTTCCACTCGCCAGAGGTGGACGGCAGTGCCGTGTCCCAGCGCGTACGTCTGCCCGAGCACCTAGCTCCGCCCGCTGAGGCCTGTCTCCGTGACCCGTCGTCGAGTTGCGTTCGCCGCCACAGTTAACCTCGCCCTGGACTCGCGCGTTCCGTTGCAGGAGCGGAAGGCATCTGGGCTGGCTGCAGCCGAACGTGAGCTTCACGTACGAGGGTCAGTACGACTGCGCCAGCCCCAGCAAATCTGCGTGGAACTTCCGGCTGCGGCCCGACGCCGCGGTGCCGCTCACCGCCGTTGTCGAGACGGACATGACGCCGGAGCGCTTCATCTGCTCAGGGCTTCCCAGCGGTGAGAACTGCAGGCGGAGCAGCGGCCTCGGCGAACGTGTTTGGCCGCGCGCGCCGCCCTTCGCGGCGAGGAGCGCTGCTGACGGCCGGCGCCCGGCAGCGCAGCCTCCCGAGCACGTTTCAACGCGCAAGTCGACTTAGCGGCCGGTGACCGCCACTCTGGGCGCTGCTCTCATCGCCACTCTCAGACACTCGGTCTGCTGTTGGATGTCCGCACTGATTGGCGTTAGTCGCTGAGTCCCCCGGCGGATGTGGCGGTGTCTCGCTGCCCTGTGCCACCGCAGCGCGGCCGACGGACGCTGACGCAGACGCCAGCAGTAGCCTGGCACTGACACACTGACACCCACCGGCACATTGACCCTGATACAGACGCCTGATTCTGATGCTGCCATTAACACCGTCACACTGACGCCAACACCGGTGCACTGACAGCGACACAGACGCTGACGCACTGCCATTGTCACTGACACACTAATACCGGCATACTCACATTGACACTGATACATTGATACTGAAACTAACGCACTGACACTGATGCTGCCACTAACAATGACACACTGACGCCGACACTAGTGCATGGACGACACAGACACTGCCACACTGACACCGGCATTCATAATGACACAACAACAATGGCACACTGACATCGACACTGCCACACTGGCGTCATCACTAACACCGACACGCTGGCATCGACACTGCCACACTGACACCGACGCTAACGCACTGACACCGACACGGACGCACTGGCACTAACACGGACGCGCTGAAACCGATCCACTGACACAGACATTGATGCGCTGACACCGACACACTGACACCGACACGTGGACACCGACGCGCTGACACCGACCCACTGGCACCGACACGGACGCACTGTCACCGATATACTGACACGAACACCTTGACACCAACACGATGACATTGACACACTGACATCTACGCACTGACATCGACACGCTGACACCGACCCCCTTACGCCGATCCCTGACACGGCCTCGCCCCCGCTCGGCAGAGGTGTCCTGTCCGGATGGCTACTTCGCTCACAGCCGCCAGTGCTACAAGTTCTCGGACGACATGGCCACGTTCCGCGAGGCGGAGCTCCGGTGCTTCGAGGAGGGCGCAGTGCTCGTCACGCCCAATCACTGGAGCCAGGTATAGCCCGCCGGCCCGCTGCCTGAGCCACGGTAAACGGAAGTGGATAGGCTTCTACTCACAATCAACCACACCAGTCAGGCTTCAGCGAGGCACGGCGCTGCTGACGAGGACGCTCAGCGAGGCACGGCGCTGCTGACGAGGACGTTCAGCGAGGCACGGCGCTGCTGACGAGGACGCTCAGCGAGGCACGGCGCTGCTGACGAGGACGTTCAGCGAGGCATGGCGCTGCTGACGAGGACGTTCAGCGAAGCACGGCGCCGCTGACGAGGACGTGTGTATCTGTTGGGACTATCGACGCTGGCCATCTTAAGTGCCACCGCTTGTCTTCAGTCGTGGTGCTTCGGACGCGATGCCACAATGATGCCCGGGTCCGCTTCCTAGCCACGAAAGGGTGAAGGGAAGGAGGTGGCAGGAGGGGGAGAGCGGGGTAAGGAGTGCCAACGTCTCCTAGCCACGAAAGGGTGAGGGGAAGGAGGGGGCAGGAGGGGAAGAGCGGGGTAAGGAGTGCTAACGCCTGACACATATTTTACTATTCCTTTATATACAAAGTCCTGAAAGCGTCCTCATTTTGTATAGCGGTTTCATCGGATGGTAAGGAACAACAGATTGGTAACGAGCAACGCGTGGGTAACGACACACTCGGAATCCGAGGCACGCTCTGAGCGCAGTGCCTAGTTGCAGGCCTTTGGTTCTTGTCAGCGGGTGAACCGCGGGTGCTGATCTGCGCAAGGTGCTCAGCATTCTCTCGTTTTTAAAACCCTGTTTTGGTGTGTGATGCAGTATTGATCGAACTGTTTTCATCACCTGGATATGCTTCAGTGCATACCTCCCAAGGACATACTTTCCATCGGTAGCCGACTCATGAGTCGAGTCTCTTCAAAAGGACGCGACGTAAACTAAAGAGTATGTGAGCTGTCATGCTTTTGATAATGTACCTAGAATCATCTTGCAACCTGTGGATGGCCCGGAGCCGAAGGTTGTTGTATTTTGATCATTTTGGCATCTTTGCATCATTTGCATCGTTTTGGCACACTTGGTCCCTATGAGTTTTGCTGTATTGCCATTGTATCGTTCATCATAAAACATGTATATTCTAAAGCTGAACCTTAGGCGCGCCTGGAGGGCATGTTTCCGAAAAATGGTGTCTTTTGAAACATTTTGCATGCATTCGATTTTGAGACTGAGGCGAAGGGTGTGTCGCAGTGTTCCAGCAGACTCACAGGGGATCTGACGCCGAGGGTGATGAGGGAGTTAGACGTTGTTATTGCTATTGTATATGCTATATTGCTGCTTTGTTGTATATGCTATTGAAGCTTTTCTCGCGGTGCCCAGATTTGACCATTGAAGCATGTTGAAATTTGCTTGCTGACCCACGAACAGATTTAAAGCCTTTTTCTACGCGTTTCAGGCACATTTCTTCCGCTACATGGCCATGGAGCTGAACACGGATGAAATTGAGAGGGAAAATATTTGGCTAGGAATTGACCGCATAGACGGGAAGGGGACGTCTTACATCACCTCGTTCGGTGACCGCTTCTCCCCCACTGGGTTCACCATGGCATGTAAGTAGGCACGTTAAACGGAATATTACGCATTGAAAGGTATTGAGGCAGGCATCAGATGTGATGGAAAAACTGTCTTTTTACAATCAATAAGCTTTTAAGAGTAGCAGACTGCTCTAGATAACAGCACTGGGTCACTTTGCTGGTGACCCAGTGCCTTCGCCATACCTGTCACCGCACGGACGACGATAGGAACCAGATGTCCCGCGTGCCACCGTCCCGCCGACAAGATGACCCGGACTACTAGGTGTGACCCGGAGTGTGAGCTCTGTTCGATGCCACGTGACCTCACGTGGCGCGCGAGCCTTCTGCTGACTCGTGCGATCCCCAGCGTGGCTGCTGGACGGCGACGGAGCGGCCGGCCACGACTGCATAGCCATGTCCAGCGACGAGATGGTGGCAGGGTCCGAGAGCTCGCGCTACAGATGGAAACACCAGCCCTGCAGCTTGCGCGCCCACTACGCCTGCCACTACAGGGGTGCGTGGCCTGGCAGCGCCGGCTCGGGCTGCTTGCCAAGGCTCTCCGTCTGTGGCTCGAAGGCCGGCACCAGGGCCAACCCGTGTGCTGCTCAGAGCGTTCCGAACGCCCGCAGCAGGGGCGCTTGGGCGAGGTCTGTGGACACTAACAGTCCTGGGTCTCCCAGGGTGTGTGAAGCGGGCTCTGGCCTGCTATGCACTTCAAGCGCGAGCACAGGTGTGGCGTTGGCCGGGTCCGCCTGGAATGCCAGCCGTATGGGCCGGCTCGTATGTAACACGAATGCTATTTATGTCATCGGTACAATGTGAGTGCAACGAGTGCAATGGGTCAGTGTTTTCAGTGCAGATGTTAGTTGCGATCGATCACCATTTCTGTTCGTGAATTTCAGGACGTGAGATCAACAATAGGATCTGTCCAAAAAGCTTTCCAATGTTCCATAAGAGCCGCTGCTTCCGACTGGTCAACGAAACCATGACATTTGTCCAGGCGGAGGTAAGTGAAGGCAGCCGACATTCACAACGATGTGCCCGATAGATGCGAACGATGCGAACGATAAAATCCGCCCAAGAAAACCTTCTTATCCCGATGGCGTGTTTTCCTTTTGGCACTGTTCAACGAGCTTCAGTGGCAATATCTTCTGGCTTCAAGGTGCATTAAATGAATTTCGGTGAAAGTGAGACCTGATCTTAAGCTGCGTATAAGGCTTTTCGTCTGAGCCGGTCTGCCAACTCTTCACGATTTCTCATTGCCATGGACGCAAGAAGTTCCCCATTTATGTGGTCGCGTGAATTCGGAGTATGTACATGCAAACAACCATGTCATTGACCTCCCTTTGTGACTGTGTCTATGCGGTGGGATGGCGTGTCTGTACGTGGATGAGTGTCTCTCTGCAGGCATGATATCTCTTGCTGTACCTTTACCTGAAGACTGTCACTTTCGACTGCAACTGAGCTCATTTTAGTACCGTCAACAGTCAGCAAAACACCCCGAACGTGAGCAGACCTCAAAGCATAGTCTACATGTCTTCCGCGCTCATTTCCCATGGTAGTCCTCAGTTGAATTGAACTCTGAAGTTTGCACTGATGTAGTTCCGTCCAACGAGTATTGTCAGACTGGGCCCATGTGGGGACCACCCCTGATGGTGTCAGCCGCCGACTGGGTCCGTGTGGGGACCACCCCTGATGGTGTCAGCCGCCGACTGGGTCCGTGTGGGGACCACCCCTGATGGTGTCAGCCGCCGACTGGGTCCGTGTGGGGACCACCCTGATGGTGTCAGCCGCCGACTGGGTCCGTGTGGGGACCACCCCTGATGGTGTCAGCCGCCGACTGGGTCCGTGTGGGGACCACCCCTGATGGTGTCAGCCGCCGACTGGGTCCGTGTGGGGACCACCCCTGATGGTGTCAGCCGCCGACTGGGTCCGTGTGGAGACCACCCTTGATGGTGTCAGCCGCCGACTGGGTCCGTGTGGGGACCACCCCTGATGGTGTCAGCCGCCGCAAGTGGTGGCGGAAGCTGAAGGGTATTGTGACAGACCGTGTGACTGTCTGTGTGACGGGCCATGTGACGAGTCGTGTGGTGGACCTATGACGGACTTTGACGTACCTGTGGCGTTACGGACCATGTGTCATGCCGCCCACGTAGTGGACCGTGTGACGTGACGGACCGTGTGACGTGACAGGCCGTGTGACGGACCGTGTGACTCGCTGTGTGACAGCCCGATCGGTGACCCGTTTCCGGTCCCCAGGTGGAGTGCGCCCGCTCCACGGACGGCAAAAGCCGGCTGGTGCGGCCCCATGTCCGACTCAGCATGCTGTGGTACCTGGCCAACAACGTGACCAAGGGCGCCTGGGTTGGAGCCGACGACCGGCTGCGGCAGGGGCTGACGGACAGGTGGGCAGGCCTGCGGCAGGGGCTGGCGGCAGATGGGGCAGGCTGCGGTAGAGGCTGACGGACAAGTGGGCAGGCTGTGGCAGGGGCTGACGGACAGATAGGCTGGCTGCGGTAGAGGCTGACGGACAGATGGGCTGGCTGGTGGGTGGGCCTGACCCTGCCGAGCGGGCGGGTCAGCCGCTCCAGCGACGCTGCCGAGCTCCGACACCGAGCTCCGCGCCTGACCGTCGTTCAGCTGTCGTCGGGTGTCGGGTCCGCGCGTGTAACAGCTGACAGTCGTGTGGCCGTCACATCCTGCTGAAGTCGGACCGGCGTGTCTCTGTGGTAGAAGCTGAGTTACAGGTCCTGTAGCACGGGGCCAGACGCCGGGACACGTCCACTGACACGTCGGGGCCCGACTGCCGACAGTGGCGGAGTCCCCTTACTGACCGCGGTGCTTGCGGCCATGCCGCTGCCCGGCGGACTCCTGGCCGAGGACGCCGCGAACCAGACCACCCCGGCCTCGACAGTGCTGGGTGGCCAGCTGCCCGGTGGCTGCATGGCTGTCCAGGACGGCGGCTACGCTGTGGTCGACTGCGGGGAGCAGCGGAGTCACCTCTGCGAGTACACTGGGAGCACCCGCTGCCCGACCGGCTTCGTCCGACACCAAGGCAACTGCTACAAGGTGCCAGCCGAAACCGTCTGCCGCTGTGGTATGCTGCGGCCGCGGATGTTTGCAGTCTGCCGTCCAAAAACGCGTTGCTTGTGAAATGGTGCTCCTGCTGGTGTGTGTCCGCGACGGCGCGATGGACACACAGCCGGTGCGTTCAGAGTACGGACAGGACACGAGGAGCTGTCTCCGGGGCAGAGGACTGGGCGGACGCTGGTTGAGGACGCGGATGGAGTAGGTGCTGGTGTCGCAGATTAGAACGGCTGCTGGCATGGCGTCGCAAACGGCTGCTGGCACCCGCACTCGGCCCAGGTTACGACATCCGCTGCCGCTGCCGGCTGCGCTGCCTCCGATGATCACCGCCAGCAGACCAGCGCCGCCGTCGCCCATCCGGACGCGTGCCCGGCCGCGGCGACGCCTCCGACCGTGACCGGGGCCGGGCCACTGACGGGCGCGCTCGGCTCCCGCAGGTGCAGGCCGAGGACGAGACGGACGCCGCCTACGCCGAAGCCGAGCGACGCTGCGCCTTCCACACCAGCTTCGTGGCCGCCGACCGCGACTTGCGAGAGGCCGCCTTCCTGAGCCAACTGATGACGTCAGGTGGGGTGACGTCATCCCGACAGCGCCAGCGTCGCTCCGCCACTCTTGGGGTCGGCGGCTGGCCGTGATAGATCACGTGTGACGTCACGGCTAAACACATCATGGGACTCGCTCTGTTCCACTCCAAAGGCCTTACATGTTCTCACTTATCAGTTCTGAGATCATACCGTGATCCGCGGAGTCGCCGCGGTCAGAAACGCTCCTCAAACCTCGTGTCCTTTGACCTCCACGTGTAGCTCCGGACCGCGCCGTGCGCTCCAGCGCAGCGGGCGCGGGAGGGGAGGGGGCGCCCTGCCACGCCCTCTCTCACTCGTTCCGTCTCGTGTCCGCAGTGGGCCGCTCCTCCTACTGGGTGGGTCTCAGCTCGGACGAACCGGACGACACGGGTCTGACCTACCCGGACGAGGAGGCGTTCAACGCCACCGACCACACGCGCTTTGCGGCAACCGCCGACGCTGGCGGCGCCGGCCTGCACCGTTGCCACCGAGGCCGACGACTTCGTCAGCTGGCGGGAGGCGGCCTGCAGCCAGCGACACGACTACGTCTGCCAGTACAGCGGTACGACCGGCCGCGGGGACGTGCTGAAAGAGGCGCTCTCCTTCGCCGGCGGACTCGCAGGGTGGCCGACTTGTGTGACACCTGACACGCGTGGTTCGCTTGGTTCTTGTGCGGGAGGCTGCCACGAGGCCTATCATGGAGTTTGGTCTTAAGCCGGCAGCATGTGGTCCCCACTCAAGCGCTGCAGGGTCGCGCTCCAGCGTCCGGTGCCCGAGCAGCCAGCTCGACAAGGCTAGTTGTCTAGCGTCGATGCTGCCTGAGTGTTGTGGATGGGACGGTGATCCAGCGCCCGGTGCCCGAGCTAGCCAGCTCGACAAGGCTAGTTGTCGAGCGTCGCTGCTGCCTGAGTGTTGTGGATGGGACGGTGCTGTGCGGGCGGGCGCCCTGACCGGGGGATCACCGCCAGGCCCGCCCGCCTGCCCCGCCGGCTACGACCCACTATTACACAGCGGCTACAACTGCGTCTCCATGAGCGAACACGGCCGACGGCAGCTACTGGTTGAAGCAGCGCGAACTGCCGGATGGCGGGCCCGAACACGGACCTGGTGCTGGTCACCGTCGTCACTCATGCACCAAGGCTGTGCTGGTACGAAATAGAGGGCCGAGGGTGGGAAGAGTGTGTGTGAGAGGGAGAGAGGGAGAGAGAGAGAGGGACAGAGAGAGAGAGAGAGAGAGAGAGAGAGAGAGAGAGAGAGAGGAGAGAGAGAGAGAGAGAGAGAGAGAGAGAGAGAGAGAGAGAGAGAGAGAGAGAGAGAGAGAGAGAAGAGAGAGGAGAGAGAGAGAGGAGAGAGAGAGAGAGAGAGAGAGAGAGAGAGAGATAGAGATAGAGGGATAAAGAGATAAGACATAGATGAAGATGGAGATGAAGATAGAGATAGAGATAGAGCTAGATATAGAAATAGTGTAGAAGGGAATAGGGTGATAAATGCAGGAAGGAGGAGAGGAAGTAGAAAAAAAAGGAGGGAGGAGGGGGAGGGACAGGGAGGAAGAAGGAGGAAGATAGATAAGGAGGGAGGGAGGGAGCAGGAAGAAGGGACAGGAAGGGAGGAAGGAAGGGGAGGAAGGGAGAGAAAGGTAGACAAGAAGGCCGGAAGCCATCACTCTCTGTACGACTAGCACACAAGCTGCCTCTGCAGGCGCGCCTGGAAGAAAACCATGCAACTCGCCCTCTGCCCCCGCCACAGAACCCTACCCAGCGCAGGTGTAGGAGCTGCTCGTAGATGGCGCTGCTGTCGAGAATGGTGCCTCTGTTGCGTCGCCGGCGGCAGCTACCCGCACCACGCCAGTCGGCTGTTTTCAGGGCTATGTGTTAAGCAAGCAGGGGGCAGAACAAAGCCCCCGCTTGATCCGCGACCGCGGGCCGCGTCGAGGCGGCGACGTCGAAAACGAGCGCACCGGGCCTGGCAGCTTGGACCGCTGGGGACGGCTCGTCACCTTCCAACACGCGCCGCAGCCAGGGAGTGCAGGACATGGGGGCCGGCGCCACACGTGAGTGGTCACCGGCCGCGTGCCGCCGGCGACGGCGGCGGCCGTGGATGTACTGGAACGACGCGTGCGCGTGCATGTGTGTGCGTGTCTGTGTGTGTGTGTGTTGTGGTTGTGTGTGTGTGTGTGTGGGGTGTGTGTGTTGTGTGTGTGGTGTGTGTGTGTGTGCGTGTGTGTGTGTGTGTGCGTGTGTGTGTGGTCGTGGTGTGTGTGTGTGTGTGTGTGCGTGTGTGCGTTGTGTGTGCGTGTGTGCGTGTGTGTGTGTGTCGCATGCTGTTGCGTACGTGTGCGGCGTGTGTGTTGTGTGTGCGTGTGTGTGTGTGTGCGCAGTGTAGGGTGCGTACGGTGTGTGTGCGTGTGTGTGTGTGCGTTGTGTGTGCGTGTGTGTGTGCGTGTGTGCGTGTGTGTGGTGTGTGCGCATGCATGTGTGCGTACGGGTGGTGTGCGTGTGTGTGTGCGTGCGTGTGCGGACTGATTGGCGTGGGCCGGGACTGTACGCCGAGCCATGCACCGAACGGCGGGTTTGTGGCTGTTCTGCCCAGAGAACCCAGTACGCAGGGTAGCGGGACGTGGAAATCGATCAGCTTCATCGATAGGCTCCTCGTGACCGTGCGTGACGTCGCCTCTCGCAAGCGCACCATGCTCCTCAGAGACCTGATGACGCTGTCGGGCTTCTGCGGGGCCTGGCCCGCCATCAGCTTTGGCTGTGGCTGGCTCTCCCATAGGACTTACGTGTTTTGGCAGCTATGAAACACTTGCTATGCGTATTATCCTTTGTCACCCGGAGGACGACTATCAATATGGCTATCAATATGTTTGCACTTTAAACACTGACGCAGAGGGCACTGATCGCCGAAACCCCAACCCTCTCGGTGCCTCGCCGAAAGTGTGACGTCACCGACACCGTCCCCCCTCCCCGCCCGCCGACAGAGGACGACATCTGGAGTGAGAAGTGTGCGGTGCTGGACACCACCGTGAGAAACCACGACAACTGGGTTCGCAAGGAGTGCGACGAGGCGCATCAGGCCGTCTGCGAGCACACTGGTCAGTACCACGACTCGAGCGACCCTCAGCGGGGGCGCGCCCCACTCCCCCCCCCCCAACCCCACACCACTACCTACTCCCACCCCTCTCAGCCCGCTGCCATGATCGAAACACCCGACCGCTCTCCACGACTCGTCAGGCTCACGCCTGGCTTGCCTCGCCCGACTCCGGTGCTTGTGGATGCTGAGCGCTGTGACGGCACGGCATCGCCTCCTGACACGCTGACGCGCCGACACGCTGACGCGCTAGTACGGTGACACGCCGACACGCTGACGCGCTGGCACGCTGGCACGCTGACACGCTGAGACGATGACATGCTGCCATGCTGCCATGCTGACATGCTGACACGCTGACACGCTGACACGCTGACACGCTGACATGCTGACATGCTGACACGCTGACCACGTTGACACGCTGACACGCTGACACACTGACACGCTGGCGCGCTGACACGCTGAGACGATGACATGCTGACATGCTGACATGCTGACACGCTGACACGCTGACACGCTGACACGCTGACATGCTGACATGCTGACATGCTGACATGCTGACATGCTGACATGCTGACATGCTGACATGCTGACACGCTGACACGCTTGACACGCTGGAGCGCTGACACGTTGACACGC